AGACATTAATACGGGAATATTCAACTAAATTGCTCAGGGGGCCACAGTTATTTAAAGCCAACAACTCAGGGGCTAGACAAATATTAAAAGTTTACCATTGATATAAAAACTATTATTAGATTAAACTGGGTTAAAAAATAATTGAAGAGGGYGGGGCCCTTTTGGTGGACCGGATGGCCACATTTGGCCAGGGGGCCTTGAATTTGACGTGTTATATGATGTGTTTTGTGATAAAAGTATCATATGATGCAGTCAGGACAAACTACTGGAGCTCAGTGTGCAAAAAAAAAAAAACCTGAATAAAGAAAATGGAAGTTTCAGTTCTGATCTCAGATGAAGTCCAGGTTAAGTCTGGTTTTCTGTGTTCTACCTTCATAAAACCTGGATTCTAAAGATAAAAAATAACATCAAAGACAAAACTATTTAATTTGGGATGTGAATGTTTGTAAATTGGCAGTGAGAATAGGAAAATTGCAAAAAGGGTGCCACCTGAAATCTTGCCTATAGGGCGCCAGATTGGTTAGGGTTGGTCCTGTTTTAAATAATGACAATATTAAGAGTATTAACTGTAACATGTATGACAAAAGGCATGCCTGTTTTCTAAGCTATTAGATTAAAAAACCTTAATTTGTCCAGTTTTATGAAGCTGTGSTCAGGAGTTCTCTCCATCATACCAGCAGGTTACACTGTGACGAACTGAAAACATGAAATTATCAGTCAAACCCCAGTTTCTTCCCTTCAGAGGTCCAAGCAGATCATGAACTCTCTCTCTCTCACACACACACACACACTTAGTGCTGCTCTCACACACATGCACCTTTAAAGATGGACATATGAAGTCCATGCGCATGTATCGTACACACACTCACACACACACGATCGTAGAAACATAAACTGCTGCTGCATTTGTACATCTGCTCAGTTTTCTTTTTTTTTTTTTTTTTTTTTGCACAGTCCTTTGGCAGCTCACTGAAAGAGTTCACACAGTAAAACTGGAGCTGCTGCAGTCACTTCAGGCCAGAGGATGGCACAGTGCAGCACAGCACAGCATGGGTCTGGCCTGGCCTGGGCTGGCCTAGTTGAGACGGGGTTTTTGGGGCCATTTGTAGCCTGACTGAGCACAGAAGTTCACAACTCTCAAGCTTTTTATTCATGAGGCTGATTAATTAGATTAGAACCATTTGATCTGAGTTTACAAATAAAAAAAACATTGATTGGTTGAAACACACCTTCAACGTGACATTATCTTTCTCTACTTGTGACCCGGAGTTCTTCAAAGTCATTCAAAATAAAATAATTTATATAAACACTGATTTTTTTTCTTACAAGAAAATGCACCATAAATAAAAAAAGATGTATTTAATGAACTCATAGAGATAAAACCTAAAAAAAAATAGTATCAGAAACAGAAAGATAAACCTGTCCTGAATTTTATGTTGAAAAACGTGAMGAGAGAAATACGCTTTTTTATTTTTTTTAAACGAGGACAGATTCAGCTGTGAAGTTTGGAAGCTGGCAGATGGTTTTTAATGTGAAACATGAGAATAAGCACACGCTGCAAGAAGAGATTCACACAAAATAATCATAAAAAACACATTCCTTTCCAGAACCACCTGCTTTTTTTTAATGCTTCACCACATCTCTGCATCTGCTTTTCATTTCTTGGCATCTATGAYGTGTGTAATATCACTTATATGAAACCTAGGCTCAGTAAACTGTAAACAGAGGTAACAATAAAAGTACCTGAACAGCCTGGTCACGTGTGGTTTTAGGGCCTCAGTACCTCCTCTGTGTCAGATTCTCTCAATCTGCGCAAGGTCAGAGCACAACCGCAGATCAGATGTAAAAGTCTGCTCAGCTACACGCCGGTAAAAAGCGCTGTAAATAGATTACAGAATACAAAAAGCACTGCTTGTGACAATCGTATAAATTTAAAATCCATCTGCCACTCCTGCCTCWGCTGAGACGGCACGCGCGCCGACCTTGGAGCCGCAAGGTTGTTTTTGAAATATGAAACGTCGACGGCAGTGGTTTTCTTTCTCAGTGTTTATAGAAAACAGAGGCAATAAACACATTTTATAGCCCCCTTCGCAGACAATTACCATAATATACCGTGAAGGGTTGATGGGGCGGCTGATAAATATAAACGCTCGATGATTACTCGTGGAGTAGCTGATAGCCTTTGTAGCCGGGGGTCTTCTTTAATGCAGAGTCATTTAAACTGCTCAGAAATGTAAAATACACACACCAAGTGTTTTGTTTTCTGTGTCTCCTGCTTTTATTTGACCAATAAAACAAGCAGAAGTTAACTTTTTGGGAAAATATTCACTGTTTGATGTGAATAAAATGTAGTTTCTCAATGCTCCCRTGGAAAAAAAAGTGGAATTAACCATGCTGATCCTTACAAATTCAAAATCAATGTGTTGTAATTATTGGTGCAACTGTGGCGTGATCGAATTAACCAATGATTGTCCCCYGTAAAGGGTGAAGTTTGGAGTTTGATGATGATGAAAAGAGCAACCTGGTCAAATTTGACTGAACTCAGCTGATTTCAAACTTTATGGCTTTTATTGATTTAGAGACGCAAAATTAAAATACTGCATTTTTTTAATCGGAGGCGAAAATAAATCACGTTAATGTATATTTAATGAATATTACATTAAAACACATCATGTGGTTCCCAAGATATTTTGCCAACAGGCAGATAATGGTAAAGTTTCAGCTACAACTGCATCAAATTTTAGCTTGATGTCTGTGAAACTGGCTGAATTACAGCCACACACAGTATTTGTGTTTTAAACCCGCTGGCTGTGACGGCCATCTTGAAATAAGTTAGCTTTAAAAGTTATCTGGTCATAGATGCACATCCTGTGATTATTCCTGGAAAGAATAATGAAAATCTGTTCAGYGGCTCATGAGATATTTTGCTAACACAACAGACAAATGAACACACTCAGGGGTTGCAGCTCACATAAGACTTATGTACTGTTAATGTTGTTTCCCCTTCCCCATCTTCCCATTTTTAAGTGTTTTAAGTGTTTTTGCACTCTCAGGCCAACATTGTAAATAAGAAACTGTTCTTTATGTTTTGCCTGTTGAAATAAAGGTTAAACAAAAAATAAAATAGGACGTATTCGTCACAAAACCCCCAAAAAACATTGGTTTACACGGCCGACAATGTCCCAGCTTTCATTGCAAGTTGCTGCAACTGATATGTTAAATAAAATGCACAAGCACTGATACYGGAGCTAAACCCAAATTATTATTTATTAAGTATAACTTTTCTAATAACGCTGAATTTTGTGACATTATTTCATGAAAACAAAACAACTAAAGGTGCATGATATAAAATGTATCACTATGCAGTGCGTGGTCACACAAATATACGTCATCCATAGACTAGGCTGTCTCATTTTACAGCTATTTATGCAGCCAACACTGTGGTCTATGTGGGCTGCAAACCCTGAATTGAGACGCAGCTATGAGCAAAAACATTAAAGCTTTTGGCTGTGGGTGATTATAACATAAAATCCACCTGAATGCAAAATAATAAATCATCTGGGGCAAAATAATCTTGCTTCTCTGGGTCCTTCTAGCGTCTTTAACGTCATACCGAAACATCTCAAACTGATCTTAATCCCAGCCTCATCAGTCACTGTGGTCAGTGTGCAGCTGCAGGGCGGCCCCCATTTCAGGCAGAGATTTGGAGACAAAACTGAGCAAAACAGAAAAAAAACGAGAGACCTGCAAATTTCAAACTTTTACGTTTTCAACTTGAAATTTTCAAGTGACGTCAACCGACTTTTCAAAAGCGGTAAACTCTGCCTCAAAGTTCCGTCGGACACACCAAAACTGGACATAATGCAATGACAGAAGACACCAGCACATGTTCTGCTGCAGAGAGAAAAATCAACATACTTACATGTACTTTGCAAACACGCAAAGTACCGTTTGAGCTAGATAGAATCCTCCGTACCCACTTTGATATGTTAGACAACATTTGAACCCTCCCGCTGCTGACGAACACAGAGCAGCTCAAACCGAACTTCTGGTTCAACGATCAATCTGAATGTCGTCACCAACTTCAGAAAAAAGGCAGTCTAGTCAGAAAACTGGAAGCCAGAGAAAGAGTTTCACGTCAAACAAATATATCCATAAAATATATCTGCTCCAGATGGATATTTGTCATTTTGAGGTAAAGCTCTTTTGAGTTTTTCTACTTTAAGTCTACGACATCAGCGTTTAAAACCCGCCTCGTTTTAAAAGGAACTCGCACCACTTTCAGTTAACGGTCGCAGTTTCCACAAACACGTTAAAAAGTGGGTGTCACCCCAAAATGCTGAACCTTTGGTCCACAACTCCTTATAAAAATATTATAAAATGTTTCTGAATGCCATTTTTTCATAAGTTTCAGTATAAATATGGAAAAAAATCTATTCTATTGTGCAAGTGAGAGAAACAAATACTTCTTTCAACACTTGTWGGACGGGGGGGAGGTATCTTTTTGTACAAATTGCAGACATTTTTTCGAATGAAAAGGCGCTCCCCGCCACACCCAGCGTCACAAACACCATTTATAGCATCGATTTCCTGCGAAATATTAGGAATCCAAACAGACGATGATGAAAACGAGAAAAGAGGAGGAGCTCAGAGAGACTTGCTACYGCTCCTTTTCTTTACCGCAGATGAGGCGTGAAAAAATATCTTAGCATCTGGAGCACCTCATTGTCCACGCGTTAAAAAAGAAGACACAAGTTTTTATTTGTGTGTGTGTGTTGGCACATTTGAACTGGCACTCTGGTCGTTTGCTGAACCACCTTCAGATGCTTGTCCCTCTCAAATCAAGGTAGATCTTGTAAAAAGAAAAGGGCCAAGTTTTAATGAGGATTTGGGGGTCAAAAAGTGCCAGTTGCAGTATTTTTGTTTAAGCTGCCCCGTTGCTGCAAGTTTTCAAAAATCTGTGTTTGCACATCTTTGTTTGTGTGTGTGTGTGTTAGCAGTCAGTAATGAAAAAAAAAATGTGTGGCTGATTAAGAGGTTTGCTGTAGATTGCTGAACTGCATTTCAGGATAGAGCTTTATACAAGAAATAGAATTTTTWAAATGATCCCAATTTTTTTCTTTTTATATTTACAGAGAGAGGCTGGACCGTGACGCAGGACGATATCGATGATGATGGTCCAAGAGCAGGATGAAGGTAGCACAACATAAAGTTCTCTTCTTCATGTCGTCTTTTTGCTCTTTTACATTCTCTTGATTGTAGCTCTCGCTTTTGCTTTTATTGGCAGAAAAAAACAGAAAAAATTGGAAAAGGATTGGAAGCTGATATAAACGTGTGAAGGCTGCTTTCAGTGTGTTGCATGTATTGCTTCTTATTGTGTTTTAAGCAATGCTAACTGCTAACTGTTAAAATGTGATTCAGAGAAATGAATGTTTCCATGCATCTGTGGCTATGGAAAAAAATACTTGTTTTTTTTTGTTGAAGGTTTATGTTTGGATCTCTACAGAATGAAAGGGTTTGTTTTCATGTGTGATAATACTGCTGATGTTAAAAGTTAGTCCACGACGTGTTCCTCACACGTGAGTCTGCATTCGTTGTGTGTGTCTGCTGGAATAGTCAGAGGGCGGAGATGAGTACGAGAAGCGAGTCGAGGTTCCGTACTTCCCCAGCCCCGTTTCAGGACTTTGCTGCCCCGGCCCCGGCCCYGGTCCTGGTCCGGTCCCTTGTCCCGTTGGATACATCTCATAGGCCGGCCCTTCCTCTATGGGGGGAGCAAAGCCCATCCGGTAGCTGGCGTACTGGGAGGGGTACCCATAGTTGTCATACGGCAGTTGGGTGGTGCCGTCCAGCAGGCCGCAGTCCCCTCCAGGGTAATCTCCCGGCGATTGAAGAGCCGGGTTCGGGGGCGCCTGCTGGCTCTGCGGCGCCCTGGWGAAGGTGTTGAAATGGGCATAGGTGGCGTGGGACATCCTGGAGGGTGGGCGGGGGTCGTAGCAGCCCGCTCTGGAACCCGGCACTGCGCTCGGGGGGACGGCGCCGCTGGCTGCGGCGGGGGGTCCGCTGGAAGCGGCGCCGGCTGCTCCGCTGTTGGGGTTCGGAGGGCGAAACTCTCCCTGGTAGTGGACCACACGGGTCTGGGGGCGGGCCTCTTCGTGGGTGGTGGCTCGAACGTTGTAGTAGCCGTTGGTTGGATCCTGTCATCATTCAAACAAATCAATCAGTTCTAAWAAATTAAATATTACAAACTCAAACTTATCAACAAATTCGAAAAAAGCAATTCTACATATTTTTAGGCACAATATAACAGTTTTAAGAGGCTAATTATCAGGAAAAATTGTAGCAAAAGGAGATTTACTTGTGTTTTAGACATAAACTTTCTTGTTTTATTCCTTTTTAAAAATAAAAAACACAAATTTTTTCTTTTAGTGCTGATCTACGAAGAATAATTCTTAAATCTGAAAAAAAAAACAGAGACATTGAGTTGTATATGTATATATATAAATCTAATTTAAAAGATAGGTTCTTCGGTGTTTCAGTTGGTAACAGTTCTTCTGAATTGGTAAAACTTACTTGTGGCGTTCCACAAGGTTCAATTATTGGCCCACTGCTATTCTCTATTTACATGTTACCTCTTGGTCAAATCATTCACAAATATGTCTCTTTCCACTTTTATGCAGATGATACACAAATATGTTTATCCATTGATCCTTCTGATCKGTCTGCTCTAAACCTCATAAGTTCTTGTCTTACTGATATTAAGSTCTGGATATCCGAAGTTTTTTTTATTGTTAAACAATAATAAAACGGAGGTGTTGGTTTTGGTTCCTAAGGCTCATAGAGACYCTATAATTCAAATTCATAATTCTTCAGGTTTTACTTGCTCCCATGAGGCTAGAAAACTTGGGGGTGGTTCTAGATTTGGATCTGAGCTTCACTAAACATTTTAACAATAGTATTAAAACTGGCTTTTATCACAACAGAAATAATGCCAAATTAAGATCAGTTATCTCATTTGCGGATGCTATTTCCCTCATTTATGCTTTTATTTTCTGTCATCTTGATTACTGCAATTCTCTGTTAGCTGGTCTGCCGAATAAAAACCTTAAACGCCTCCGATTGGTACAAAATACAGCAGCTAGAGTCCGCACTAAATTCCAGAAGTTTTATCATATCACTCCTGTTCTGGCTTCTTTACACTGGCTACCTGTTGTTTTTAGGA